TCAAATTATAATAAATTAAATTATAATAAATCAAATTATAATAAATTAAATGATTATTGAGGGGCAGCACGGTGACGCAACTGGTAGAGCTGCTGCCTCTCACACCGTGATGGTTGGACATGCACCAGTGACCCCCACGACCCAAAAAGGAAGAAGTTGGTAAAGAGGATGGATGGATGGATGGATGGATGGATGGATGGATGGATGGATGGATGGATGATTTGAGTTTAGAAATTTAGTTTTTGTCATTTAAGAAAGTAAAACGCCTCAGATGTGATTTTTATTTTTTCCTCCTCAACACCTTTCTGTCAAACTTTCACCTAAAATAACTGAAAATGTTAATTTAAATGTTTGTTACAGATTATTATTATTATTATGAATACTAATAAAATCAGAAATGTGTTCTGTAGAGCTCCATGACATCTTTTTCATATGAACTATAAATATATTGAGAGTAAAATATAGTTTTGTTTTCTTTCATGTACCGGTAAGTTTTATCAGATGATAAATTGATCAGTTCCATAAATAAAATGAAAATAAGACATTTTATGAATCTTTAACAATTTCAACAAAAACCTTCTAAAGGTGTTTCAGCTCAGCGAAACATTTTTGTTAAAATAGTTTAAACTCCGCCTCCAAGTCGTTTAAAACTAAAATAAAATGCAACAATCTGAAAACTGCAAAAACCCACTTTTTATTCACAATGGAACAAAGAAAACGTTTTAACCAAGTGACCGTTCTTTAAAGAGGAAAAGTCATTTTATCTTTGACGTCAGCAACAGTCTGAGGATCGGATCAGAACCAGGAGCCGGATCAGAACCAGCATTTAGTGTAACGAGGTGAATGATCAGCAGGTCAGAGGACCGGAGACAAACGGAGACTGTAGAAGTAAAGATGGACGCAGGTTCAGCAGTCTGTCCAAAACTAGAGGAACAACTTCTGAATAAAGACTTTAATCTCCATCATCTCCAGTTCATAATCTGATCCACAGATTAGAAGAATCTGAAGAAATCTGAGCTCAAAGGACGAGGCCCTCGGGTGCCACTTCAGTAAAACCAGGTCTGGTTCTGTTTACAGATGTGAACACCGTCCAGAACCGCTGCCATCTTCTCTGGACCTGAGCTCATTTCAAATGGACTGAGATCAAGTCCAGAACTGTTCTGTGGTCAGACGGGTCCAAATGACCACAGACCCTACATCCTCCGTACTAAAGAGTAGAGGGACCATCGAGCCTGTTAGCAGCCTGCCTCTCTGATGGTATGGAGGTGCATTAGTGTCTCCAGCATGAGCAGCTAGCACATTTGGAAAGACTCCATCAATGCAGGAAAGTATCTTCAGGTTTTAGAACATCTGCTCTCATCCAGCAGAGAAGATCCAGGACTGGAGTCCTTTTATCATCAAATTCTCAAATACTTTTTTCTTATTTTTAATCTTGAAAAAAAAAAAGGTTCAGTTCCATTTTAAACGTTTGATGCGTTTAAAATGTTCCACTGTGACTAAGATGTGGGTCAGAGACGTTCAAGTCGGTGCGTTGTGTTTTGATTTTTCAGAGTTCTGATCTGCTTCAAATAATAAACTTTTTATGAAACTGCTGAAGAGTCAAAAGGCACCGAGGCGAGTTCGACTCTACGGTTAAAGAAAAACCAGTAAACAAATGTTTTAAAGTGTGAGACCTGGCTCAAGCTCCCAGTTAGAGGAAGCAGGGTGCAGTCCACAGCGCTGCCCGCAGGGGGCGCTGCAGCCCCTTACAAAGCCGCTCTGCACCACACGAGCCCATCAGAACCTTTTATTATGAGCTGCACGAGCCTTCCTGCACATCAGGTCTCTACAGGAAGTCAGACCGTACAAAACAACTGGCGCCGCCTCAGAACCTTAGAGTCCGCTCTGCAGCTGGAACTGTGGCCAGCTGGATCTTTGTTCCAGTCGAGCCCGGTTCCATAAACCCAGACAGCTTCAGAACCTTAAATCAAGATTTAAATAAAAAAATAAAGTTAAATTAAATAAGATCAAGCAACTCATTTGTTTTGAAAATAGTCTCTTCTGGGCCCTCGGTGAGGAGTTTTTGGATGCTACACGGGTCCGGAGGCAGAACCGGGCTGTCACGAGTAGAACACGAGCTCGGGGATCTGCCCGCCCTGCACCCCGGTTCCGTTGGTGCTGTCCGAGGAGCACTGGAACTGGAACGTCACCTTCCCGCACTGCACCTCCGTCATGCCCTCCTGCCCGAAGTAGCTGAGCTCGTTGCCGTCCAGCACGGCGCTCACCGTGTAGAAGGTGTCCTGCTCCACCTGGACCGGGTGCTCGAACCACACGGGGAATGTGCCGCTCGACCCGTCCGACACGAACTTGGTCAGGTTCTGGGCCAGCGTGGCGCCCTGCCGCTTCAGCTCGATCCTGACGCTGTACTCCGCCTTGTTCCCGCTTGAGCCGTACAGCCCCAAGCCGGCGATGAAGATCCGTTTGTCCACGGCGAACTGGATGCTGTCGCAGCGGCCGCGGTACCGCCACTGGTTGCTCCGGTAAGCAGAGGACTGGAACCGGTGGCACCGCTGGGGGGACAGGCCTTTCCTGGGCGTCAGCGGGAAGTCCAGCTTGGGTTTTTGGGCGGCGGTGTACCACAGGAAGACGTTGTGCGTCTCCTCCAGCGTCAGGATGTCGCACTGCGCCGCTCCGTTGGCGAACTCCTCCAGGCTCATGGTGGGGATCCGCACCAGGAACAGCGCCGTTCCCAGAACCTCCCTCGTGTTCCGGGTGGTGGGCCCCAAGCCCTGCCTCTTGCACTCGGCCGCGGCCCAGTTCATGACGGCCTCGAACACCACCGCCTCCTTGGTGTTGAGCGTCTCCCTCCGCAGGATGATCTCCAGCGTCTGCAGGTCGATCTCGCAGAAGCCCTCGGAGCGCAGCGCCAGCTCGGCCTGCGCGTCGATCACCTCCCAGCAGCGCTGCGTCAGCTCGGGCTCCTCGAACAGCCGGCTCTGGGACAGCAGCACGCAGGCGTTCTTGGCCTCCAGGCTCGTCTCCAGGAAGGTGACGCAGGCCTTGGCAAGCGCGGGAACGATGTACTTCTTGGCGGCGTACAGGGTGGCCAGCACCGTGTCCGCCTCCAGGTCGATCTCGTCGCTGTACATGTACCTGCGAGGAAAAAGAGGCGTCAGCGCACGGAGACACGACCGTGTGTCGTCCTGATCCTAGTGACTCGTTTATTCAGCGCCAGGACAATCCAGCCACACGAAGCAAATCTGAGCCGCGACCTTCCAGGAAGTAGCCTAATCTACATGATCGCACTCTGCCGTCTGCACAAGTATGGCAGGCAGTGTTACTATTTAATCAATGGTCAGAGCAACATTTTTACACATCAGAACTGAAATAAAATCTTTACAATCACATTAGAACAAGTAGAGATTACAATTTAGGATTGTTCTAATTGTATAAGACAAAAACAAGTGTTTTGTTTAACTTTGGCTACAAATAAAAACATTGAAATGAAAATCTTTCTTTTTAACGGTGTCTTGAGTTCCATCGAGCAGCGTTTTTATTCAAACTACGCTCTGAGCACAGACTTACTTCAGCAGGATTAGAAAAGCAGCAGGTTCCACATCTGGGATGTGGATTTCAGACTCCTCCTCCGCCAGATCTCCGTAGAACATGGCGCAGAAGACGGAGCTTCCCACGGCGAGGACGTACTGAGGGGGTGCAGAGGAAGAGACGGAGTCAGAACGCACAAGCTTCTGTTTTTAGCCGAGTGCAACGAGGAAGCAGGAACAATGCTCTGGAGGTTTTCCATAAACACGGGGTTACCTTGTGTGCTGGGACTCTCTGTGAGGCCCCCAGGGGCCCGACAATGAAGTGGACGTCCGCCATCAGCTCATTGTTAAACATCAAGGCGTTCCTGAAAGAAGAGCACAATAAGCCTTTATGTCCTCCCACGCTCGTCACTTAAATTTAATCTGCTGAAACTCAGATTAAAATCTGAAGCTTCAATAATTAACGTTAATCTCACATGGAGGAAAATGGTTTATAGCAGAGTCCTATGTATTTAACAGCTCAAATTTCAGCTCGGTATCTGTAAAGTTGACTGAGTTTTAGCCATTTTTGACTCATTAAGTTGATTAGCTGTGGTGGCCATCTTGAATGGCGTTAATCCGTTAAAGGTGTGCATCCAATGATTATTTCCTGAACGCTTTAAGTAGTTCATGAGATATTTAGCTAACAGACAGTTGTTTTTACTAAATAATGACCAGGTTTTAAAGGCACGATCAGCGAGTGCTCAAGTTGTGTGTTGTGGTGACGCTCAGCTACTACCACACCACATTTTAGGTCATTATATGTAAAATCAACAGATTTGTGGCTATTTTAAAGTTGGCTGTGGTGGCCATCTTGAATCTGGATGGCTCTAAAAGTTGTTTAGTTGTATATGTACATGCTGTGATTACTTCCTGAAAGTTTCACTGTAATCTATTCAGTGGTTCGGGAAATATTTTGCTGACAGGCTGTGAAAGCCGGCGGGCGATCGTGTAATGGTGCGGTTTACGGCCGTGATTAATGGTTCTCGGTGAGCTCCCAGCAGCGGGCTGTTGGGGGTCTCCCCCCCGGGGTGAGCGGTACCTCTCCCGGAGGGTCGGGTGGCTGCACTGCCAGCTGCCGGCGGGCTCCGTGTTGTTGTTGGTGATGTTCTGCTGGCTGGTCGGGGTGGTGGCCGCGCTGCCGCCGCCGCTGCTCCCCGGGCTCAGCGGCACCTCCCCGGGCTTCTCCTCCACCGTGGTGCCGCTGGCCAGGCTGGTGGCGTCGGTGCCGGCGGCGGGGTACAACTCCGCGGCCATCTTCTTCTCTTCCTCCTCCTTCTGCTTCTTCTTCGTGCTCGTCAGGGACAGGGTCAGGATCTCATAACAGACCGGCAGCCGGCCCGGGAGCCCGCCGACCTTCTTGGACTTTTTCAGGCTTTCTGGCAGCAGGAACAGGTAGGTCAGACACCTCATGATCCGGCCATGATGGAGCAGCCTGCAGTCGGCCGTGGGCATCGGCACAGGCGGCGGGGATCTCCGAACTGGAGGGGGCTCTCCTGCACCCACAACCGTGTAGTCCGGCGACTGCAGCGAAGTTTAACCCCCAGTACATAAATATCCGTCCGAGCCCCGGTGTGTGGTCCGTTTAACGAACACGAAGCGGCTCCTGCCCCGGCTCTCAGCTCATCCTCCCCGGACTGAATGTCCTCTCAGCGCTTCTTGTTTTCGCTTTTTTTTTTCCAACGAGTGGGTAATCCGGATAGTCCAGCTGGTCCGGGTTTATCCCTCCCTGCCTCCGCGTTAATCCTCACAGATATCCCTCCGTTTTATCGAATTATCGAACCAAACGACTCCGCTCCGCTCCACCAGAACCGTCCGGATCGGAGGTAAATAATCATTTGTGGTGACTTTTCCAGCTCAGCTCTATTTTTAATGCTTTTTTTTTTCCATCGCTTCGAACTCTCTGAGAACCAATCGGATTGTGGCACCGCTCTGACGTCAAGCTGAAGGAAAAAGCTCCTCCCTCAGCTGCTCCGCAGAGTGCGTCACTGCTCTGACTCCTCCCCCTGATCTAAAAGGCAGGGGCGGAGCTACAAAAATCAGGCCTCTGAAAGTTTTTGTGTATTTTCTGGACATCATTTTGTCTATGTGTATTTGTTTTTTATTCTATTTTATATATTATTCTTGTAGTCTCTACCAAAATAGGACACTTTTTTATATTTATTTTTAAGTCTTTATGACATTTCTTTTAAAGTTTAATGATAAAATCTGCAATTATTTTCCAACAGAGTTTCAATTCCACCTTTGGCTTTCTAAAGACTGGAGAGCTGGCTCAGGTTATGATGTAAATTGATTTATGAATTTTCAATATTAAATAATACCATTAGGCATACGTAAAGTATTAAACAGGGAAATGGAACAAAGTTCAAGTCAATTTTATTGTCATTCGCGTCACATGTGGTACATGAGGTGGAATGAAATTACGTACTCGGCGTCCCAGTTAAACCCAACAATAGCAAAAATATAAAGTGTAAAAATAAACCGTATACAAGTACCTGAAATATACAGGGATTTAAGATCTAAGTTAAAGAAAGAAAACAAGTAAAACACAATTAAAAATTGTAAAGAAGAAAATATTTTAAGTAAAAAAAAGAAAAATGCAGGTAAATAGTGTGAATGCCAAAGATCTCTAAAGGTTAGCAAGAAGCTGAAAGTAGAGAAATCAACTCAACACAAGGTCAAGCACAAGGTCATATCTGAACATTTTAGCTTTTTTAAAGTTTAAAACCAGTTAACTATTAGTTTATGAAAGCTTCAAAGACAGTCACAGGAACCAAAACCTGTCAAAGATATTAAAGTTCAGCTGTCGGTGGTTCTCCTGCCGTCCTGCTAAGTTTGATTGACAGGAGCTCCTCATCGATTGGTCCAAACCAGTTTGTAGAATGAAGCGGAGGGACAGAGGACGCTCTGAAAGGGTCAGCTGTTTTATTTCTGTCTGCTTTAGAGATTAGACCCTCCAGTAAAACTTCCGAGGAGCTCTGCAAGCGTATAATTATCGTTATATGGTGGAGGTGGTGGTGGTGGTGGTGGTGGTGGTGGGGGGGGGGGGGGTCGGTCTTGATCTGAATCCCAGCTGCTTCACCAGCAGAGACTCCAACTTTAAAGATCTTGGACTCCAGACTCAGAGCTGCACACATTCCACATTAAAACGACGACAGCAGATGATAACTCTTAAGGCAGAGTGTTCCTTGAAGGAATGCATGTCACCCGCCAGCTCTCTGCCAGAGTTTTAGCCTCAGTTCATCTTCGGATGAAAGTAGAGGGGGTTGGAGACGTTTTGGTTAGGCCTTCAAAATAAAATACTGAGATGTGCCATTACCACATCACGTTTAAGCTCAATGTCTGAGCGTAAGATGTTTTGTGTTAGCTATGGTCAGTTGGTTGTGGCGGCCATTTGAATCAGTATTTATTTATTTTCTGTATGTTTTGTGTTTTACTTCTGTTTCCACATACTTTGAGGTATTTTAGCTGTTCATAAAACAAAGTGTTTGGCTCGTTCAGGAGACGGCTGCTCTGACTTGTTGTACTTTTCTTTGTACTACTGATGCTGATTTTGCTCATGCTACTTCTAATGATGATGATCCTACAGTCGTTACTTGTAATGGTGCTGATGCTAAATTTGGTTCAGAGTCTAACGTTCAGAGTCTTAACGTTCAGAGTCTTAACGTTCAGAGTCTAA